AGCTCTTAGGTTGGAGGCCGTGGCTATTGGGATGGAGGCCATTGCTAGTAGGTTGGTGGCCAAGAGAGTACACGCAATGCATGGGTGAAAAGCATCCCGATGCTGACTCCTGCCCTTTCGTCGGCTCCAGGCTAGACGGAAGAATTCCAACTCCCAGGCGTTGGAATTGGCTCATCGAACCAGCAACGCTGCCAGTGACCTTTCACCAGAAAAAATAATGGTAAAGTGTGACGTTTAGACATCTAATGGACAATAGACGTCCAAATGTAATGCATTCTTTTTTTGATGCCAAAAGTCAATCAACAGTGCGCCTCAATTCTTGACCGTTTGTCGAGGCCTTGCCAGAGATTGCAAGACCCAAGGAGACTGCTTTCTGCCAATCGAGCACTGACCCAGTTCGCAGCTGGAGAACTGTTGTTTAAATAGGAATATCCACAGCCAATGGGTATTGGTCCAATTTTTCAAGGGGTCTACACGGTCCACGGACGGCCGTGAAGGTCGTAAACCTTTGGCCTGACTGGGTGTCTGACGTAGTTGGGGATTTGTAGCGTTGAGACCGCAACCTGGCTGGGGAGAGCTGAACTTGTGCATTTCGCTACAACGAGACGCACATGTTGATAGTTTCTCATAACTTCCAAACTTAGTTTTTTACAGTGGATGTGTTCCTATAGTTAGATCGACCTTCAACCTGACTGGGGGCATATTTGGAAAGTGTCAAAGTAAGTGTTTCGCCATAGGAAATGCACATTATGTTCTACTGCAACAGCTTCGCCAAGTTCTTTAAGACAGTGTGCGGAGAGTCTCTGAGGTGCTGTTGTCGGTATGCATACATGGACATACTCAGAGATTCTCTCATTCATGCTATTTTCATCTTTCTTTTGCTTAGCAACCAAGTGGTGGGGCAGGACAGTCTTCAGACTTAAGTACGTACGATCCAACAACTGTGTGCCTGCAAGACTGGTGGTCTTCTTTTCATATCGTTCAATGTTCTTTGTGAAGACCTTCGGTTCATGGGTCACACGCTCGCAAGGCAACTGTTTGCCATCGAAGCCGCGACCCACCCATGCGCCCGTAACACTGCACACGAAAAAAACGTAAAAAGACTCTGCAAACATGTTACTACTAGCGAGGCACTTGTTACTACTAGCTTCTTGTTACTACTAGTAAGGCACTTGTTCCTAGTAGCGTGGCACTTGTTACTAATAGCTTCTTGTACTCCGGAAAAGTCCGTTCCGGAAAGGCCAGTAACAAGAAGCTACTAGTAGCAAAAGGCATCGCTACTAAGAGCAAGAAGCTACTGGGAGCAAAGGGCACTACTAGCCGGATAAAAAATGGCAGTTGAATGGCATGTCATCCGTTTTCACCAATTCCTCCGGTCTTCCAATGCATTTTCAACGAAATGCACAGTCAAAGACACCGTCACCAGACAAACCGTTTGTCATTGCCCCCACCCCACCCCACCCCACCCCATGTGTCCCACAAAGCAAATCAGTTCCGGAACCAAAAACTTTCATAGCGGGCGCGTAGCCCTCAAGGACACCTCAGAAGTACTACAAAAAACAAACAAAAACACGCGAAATGCCATGGCCGTCTACAAGCCGTGTTCCGCCTACACACCCATTTGTCCCAAAAAGACACCGGCTTGTCATCATCCTTTATTGCATCGAAATTGGCAGGATCCTTCCCTTCAAGACGAAGGTGATGAGGCGCTGACTCAATCATCAGCTACTTGTGCAGCTCAGTCATGAACTTCCAATCCATTTAGTTGCTTTGTGGCAGATCTTTGGCTGGAGGCCATCGCCAGTAGGTCGGAGGCCACACGTTGGCCACAATCTGGAAGAAACTTCTCCAGGAGAGTCGCGATCAGTGGAACTGGACTGCGCCTACCAAAGGCGCGGAAGTGGCGCTGGGTTTAAGCCGGGGTTCATTTTGCAGGTCTAGTTGCAGGATATAATTACAGATAAACTTAGGAGTTCTTGGAATTCTTGTCCTGTCACAGTTGCTCTGGTGGATGCAAGAATCATCAAGTTCTAAGCAAAGTGCAGTTTGTTGGGACACTTCTGTGAAGTGTTTTCTTCTGTTTGGCCGAAGACCTTAGAACTGCTAAATCTCGGTTTCTTACAACATATTTTTAATCAATAAAAGACCAGTGCAAACAAGCCAAGCGGTTGTTGTTCATCAAAGCTGGAGCTTCATTGAAGGGCAAGTGAACAACTTGGAGAGACTTTGGACGTCCTTGGCATTCGGCCGGTGGTTGGCCTCATGTTTGTTCGACTTGGTTGTGGTGAACACCAAGTGGTATATCCAGACACCTGGATCGTCATTTCCATCACACTGTGTAAAAAGGCTCAAAGTGCAAACATTCCTTGAACTTCCAGGCATGAGGTCTACACAGATGCTTCAAGTTTCCATGCATTCTCCCTCCTTTCCAGCGTGGTCTCCTTCATTCACAGAAACATAATATAGACAAATAAATATATATATACTGTAGATCATCGGCAAGCCGTAGATGCTGATGGGCTTACAAGATTGCCAAAAAGATGAAGACATGTGGGAAGCTGATTTGTGTTCAGGAGTTGTTTTCTTCTTTATGTATACTTTAATTCCTGTTCAATGTTTCTGGTGTTGAGTGTCTTTCTTTCGTGCCTTTCAATCCAAGGATGTGGCTGGTGTCATTGAACCTGATGGTGCTGTTCTGCTTCTTTGCCATGCCATGTCAACGACAACCGGTCCTACCAAGACCGTGTCCATATCTCGCACCGCAGCCCTGTGAGCGCGCGGTGTCGGACGTGCACGCAGAAGCGGTGCACGCAAAGAACGCGCTCGTGCTCGACGAAGCGGTGCGCACCGACTCGACGGCGGCACAGCCGACCTCTGTGAACGGAATCCAAAGAGCTTCCGAAGATCCGAAGGTCTCGGCTGCAGCGTCCTCAGGAGGAACTGTAGTAGGTGACCTGGAGATCTCCACACCTGCGCCCGAGCGCAGCAGAGCTGAAGCCCTGGTGCCTTCCAATTTGCCCACCCGACTTCCTCAGCTCCCGACCCAAGTCATCTTGGCGCCGCCGCCGCCCGCTGTGGCGCTGCCAGACCCCGGACCCTTTCGTGCACCCCAGACCCTTTCGTCTTCGTGCCGCTTCGTGGTGGATCGCTGTCAAATGGATTCTCATCTCATGGCAGCAGAGAAGTTCGATCAGATCTATGCGAGGAATGGCTGGGGAAGTCGGATCAGCGAACTGGGCACACACACGCGGAGTGGTTTGGGCAGTGATCTGAAAGGAGCTTTTGATTGGATCTCGGGCTTGAACAAGTTCTTCAACCAGAATCCAGAGTGCCTCGGATACGCACATTCATTGAACAACACCTGGCCAGGAATGGGGGTTTTTAGATGTTCGTTCTTCAGCCAAAAAACTCGCAATCAGGTGCCACAGATGGGTGCTGCTGAAACAAGATCCGTGATTTATAGTCATAGTATGTCATAGGTAATATACTAGCCGCACGACTTCTGTCCATCTTCAACCGTGCTTCGTTGAACTCTTTACGGTGTCCCGGGAACCGTCCCGTTCCCAACCGAGGCTTCAGATCATTGCAGATATCCCAAGTGGAGACATAGGATGGCAAATGGCTGTGAGGCATTTGAACACTGCAAAGCTTTACTTTGGTGGTGACATCGCCAGGAGCGTTGCTGAATCGAATGCCAAGAGGTTCAAAGATCATGCAGCTTTGATGCGTTGTAGGTTCAGTCATGGTGCAGTCTGCTGAGCTCCTAGGAGCTACTATAGGAGTTTCTAGGAGCTACAGTGTTGTCAAAAGATTGTTAATTAAATACTGTAAGCACAATTTAGCACATATCTTGGGCTTCACGCCCAGAACGCCTCACCAAATCAGTTCTGGGCTCAGGTTTCCATGGATTCTATATATCTATAGCAATAGGTGTCTCTCACAATTGCAAACCCCATGCATGCTCTCTTTTTGTTGTGAACTCCTTCTTGCTGAGCTACCAGACCCCTGTCCACTCCAGGATCGCATCCAAATCCGTCTCGTGTCGGGCCCCGACCCGAGGCCAACAAAGTCTTGCAACACTGGGATCTCCATTCCTGCGGAGCGCCCCAGTGGTACACCAGCTGCGATTCCACCCGCCATCCGTTCGACGTGATCATGATCCGGGATGCGCTCCAGCATATTCCCATCCTCAAGGCCGGCGGGGCTATTAGTAACAAGTGCCACGCTAGTAGTAACAAGTGCCTTACTAGTAGTAACAAGAAGCTATTAGTAACAAGTGCCTCTACTAGCTTCTTGTTACTACTAGTAAGGCACTTGTTACTACTAGCGTGGCACTTGTTACTAATAGCCGCGAGTCGGGGCACCCGGTGTCGGGTTCGATAGAGCGATGGGCGCGATCGGTCAAGAGTGACGGCCGTGTGAGACGGGACCAAAGCTGACCCTGATGGTACCATGAATCCAAACAGGACCAGTTCACCTGCTACGTATGTCCAAGATATTTAGTGTCTTACCCAGAAAGAAAATAGGTGCTGGCGAGTCCGGGACTCGTGGGTGGTCATGGAAGGTGCAGCAGATCTTACACAAGGTGATTTTGGAGTCGGGTGCCAAATGGTTGATCACTTCGAGCTATCCGGAGAGTGATACACTACATCACAAGGATACCGCTGCCTGTCACAACGATGAGAATCTCAGGCAGAGAATTTCTTGGTTCATCTTGATTCCTCCAAAAAGTCAGCTTTGTCTTGCAGAAGAAGTTAGTTGAATCGTGTTCCACTCAAGTCTTTTCTTCTCAAAAGAAATGCTTAAAGATTGTTTAAGCCTGAGTTGCAGAAGCCTGGCAGAAGCCGCAGCCCGATTTCTTCTTATCTCATCTAAGGAAGCTCTTCTGCAGCAAGGGCGCAATGCGTAATGGTGACGGTGGATGGTATCCCATTGCGTTGGACTGTGCACCTTTCCTCTTCCCTCCTCCGGCGGTCAAAACACCGTCGCACAGCACCTTTCCAATTGAGCATGATCCTCGCCCTAGTAGCGAATGGCCTGGCGGAGGTGTATTGAAACGGGAGCCGTTCAAGTTTGCTTGGTTTCTGTTGCTTTCCCCAAGTTTACGAATCTTCCATCAGAAAGTTCAGCTTTTGGACATGCGGCTCCACATTGTGAGCAAGTCTCCTAAAGCAATTGCTTGAGATGTGAGGATTTTATGTATATCTACCGCATCGATGATGCCTTGAAGGATTCTGCAGTTTTGGTGGTGGGAAGGGTGTCGTGTTTGTGTTTCTTTATCCAAGCAAAGAGTCATTCTGTAGAAAAGACTTGAATCCAGGCAGTCGGAGACAGAGAAACCATTATTGACCAAACATCAGCTATGTGAAGTGAAGGCCTTTTTCAGGTTTGGAGGATGTGAGTGTGAGCAGCTTCGGTTTCCCTTCCTTTTTGGTTGGGTCCATAAAGGAACAAAGATTGGAACTGAATCGGTTCGTTCCATAGGAGAAACCCCCCACGAGTCAGTCACAGGTGTGTTTGTTTCTCTGTCACAGTTGGAAAAGCAAAAAGGACACTTTTTGGCCTACTGGTCCTACTAGTAGAAAGATTTTTGGGTTTTGACATTCCTCTCTTTCCCTTTGCAGGATGCAGTCCGGAAAATGAGGCTGTGTCATCCATCATGACCGCCAACGTAGCGGTGTAGGATCTAGTCGAGGGCAATGCCACTAGTTCCTTTTAGATATGTGATTTTTCTCGCTCAAAATGAGCGAGTCGGTTGTGTAGTTCAAGATGGGCCCGAGTCGGTTTGTGCACCCAAAGTCTTGTTTGGTGCCTGAACTTGGCTGGTAACTTGCCATAGCCAAAAAAGGATGCGTCCCACTGACAGCTCTCCACGCTGATTCTTTTAAAGAAGAAGGTGTCAAGCTAAAAGCCCTCGCCCTTCCTGCTGCGAGGTGCTTCAGGTTTTCTTCCACCACTTCAGTCCGGAGCTTGGAATCGAAGTCTTCAAGGGTCTGTGGTTTGTGTCAAGTCTTTCTGAAAGCAGCGTTGGCAAAGGCAGACGACGAGCAGTCTGCCAGTATCACAGGTTTGGAGCCCTTCGATTGTGGATCTGACTGTGACTTCGAACAGAACACCTGAAATGGATCGTGTTTGTGTTTCTAGTGTAGATGTGTGGCGCTCTTATGGACACCTTGTAAGTGCAACGTAGCTAGCGACATTCTGCAATGGTAGCTCATGATCTACTTTGGGTGGAATATGTTTCTCACAATGTGTGCCAGACCTTTTCCAGCAGACCAGAAGAGGTTGGGCCGTTTGCCACCGATTTTCAAGCATCGGTGTTTGATCCAAACTTTTGTATTTTAACAATAGAATTGCACAGCAAAGAAAGGCGTCAGGATGTATTCCTTTCAGATCAGGCGTCCTCAGTTTCTCCATGCGTAGCCGTATGACAGGGAGTGTACCGGACGACCCACCGGACGACCCACCGGACGACCCACCGGACGACCCACGACGACCTCACACAGCGAGTAGTCCTAAAACACCCATCAACTCACCTGTGCGTCAGAACCTGTGACTTGTAACGGATGAGTCTTGTAACAGGAAGAGGTTGCTACTAGTAACATCTAGTAACAAGAAGCTACGAACAGAACAAAGGCGCTACTAGGCGCAAGGACGCTACTAGGGGCGCTCCTGGCCTTACTGCTAGTAACAAGAAGCTACTAGGTGGAGGCCGTCGCTACTAGGGTGGAGGCCATTACTACTAGGAGATCTTCCTTGCAATTTGCCTGGTGACCTTGGACAATACATTTTGTAGTACAGAACGGTTTGCGCAACCTCTTTTGCTACAAAATACAAAGTCCCATGCAAAAACACAGTACTACAAAATGACCCATGGATGTATGGTGCGCTACAAAATCAAGGGCCCCAACCCTTCTATATGGAAAAAACCTGGTGGGATTTATAGCTACTACAAAATGTATTGCACAACCTCAAACATGCCCCTCAGCAAGCACCAAGAAAAATGCTCACTACAAAATGTCGCCGCCCTCTCTTTTGTCTCATCTGCCTTACCACCCAGGAAGCTGGTGGTCCTGAATGTGCATTCTTTACCACCCCAGCTGGCCTCCAAAGGCACAGCAGGCGGCCTACCTAATCGACTATTGGAATTGCTTGGGGCGTCCTCACATGCCCACAGAGATTCCTATGGAATCAGCAATTCTGCTTTCCCATCTGCGCTACCCATGCCTGAACTGGAGGAAGCAACTGTTACACGCAAACCGTGATTTAGGATGAGGATGGATGAGGATAGACGAGACAATACTAGCAATACAAAATGGTTTCCTCATGCCCGTTTGCTACAAAATGAGGCTGCCATAGACTACCCAAACAGAAATGCAATAACATCCAAGTGAGCAGTTGTGAAAGGCTGGATAGCATTTTCTAAGATGAATTGATGCATGGTGTTCAGGACTTGGTGGCATGTTTTGCCGCGAGATGCTCGCAAAAGTCCGTCTAGCAACTACAAAATGGATCAAAATGGTCTCCTCATCCATGTCTGCTACAAAATGAACCTATATACCCAACCAACCAAAAAAAAATATCTTGCTGAACGATGGTGAAAGGCTCATGGTCATGGTGCTTAGATGTGATTAGGACTTCTTGCTGGCACTTTTTGCCGCGAGATACTCGCAAATGTCCTTCAACATTCTTAAAAAACCCTGGCGATTTGGCGGATCACGGGTCAGCTGTGAACGCAATGTGTCGAAGTACTTGCTCACAGAGCGTCCAAACACGTCTGGCGTCTTCATGTGAGCAAACCTCACCACACAGGCAAAAGGTTATTGTGAGTCATTTTGTAGTGAAAGGGAACTAATAGATTATTTTCCTGCAGTTTGTAGAAGGGTCGGGTCCCACTCAGCATCTCTAAACTACTCCGTTTGAAACCAGTGAAAAAGGTCGAAGCATGTCCAAGTATCAAAGCGTCAACAGCTTCATGGCATTCGTGGATGATCTGTTCCTTGGTCTTTCCCTCGGCGGGTGCCAACTTCAAGCGGCACAACCCATCATTGGAGAAAGCTGGGGCATTCTGGAATGCCTTGTGATCCAATTCGATGAGCTCTGAGACCTGGCCCCTGATCAACGCATACCCCTTGTTCGTCCTGCGATAGTCCTTGAAAGTTGGGGGCTCCACTGACAGGCTCACAAGTACCGGCTTTGTCTTCTTCTTCCTCTTTCTTTTTTTCTCGTCCCCCTTCGCACACTCCTTCTCAACCTCTCCCTTCTTCTTGCCTTTCAGCTTCTTCTTCCTCTTGCCGCCGTCAGACGCATGTTTTGCCTTCTTTGCACGCCCGAGATGGCTGCGCTTCCTCTTGCCACGGCCACCCTTCCCCAACTCGTGCGTGGCCTTCTGCGCACCTGACATCAAGCTGGCTGACTTCTTGCCGCTTCCTCGCACCATAGTTGGGTTCACGGCCCAGCCCTGCATATCCGGTAGCCTCAGAACCGCTTGGGCACTGTCCTCGCTGATGGTCACGCGCACGGACCCAGAGTTGTCCAAAGGAAAGCTGCCTTACAAAAACAGGCAACAGAAGACACTGCAACAGAACAGCACACTACTGACATTACAAAGTCTACCTCTACAAAATGCACACTCAGAGGAAAAACGCTACAAAATGCATGAGGTATAACAAAAGGATACAAAGGGGTACCTTAACTATGTTGCAGGGCGCAGTGTGTGCAATCCAAGATGGTGATGAGGGACTCTGTTCGGGCAACCCATGCAAGTGAATCTTTGCGGCAGCTCCACTGTGATGGAGATTCCTGCCACAACGCAATGCAAGTCAGTCATGGCCAGCAAGTCCTAGAGCCTCCTACATCAGCCACTCTGGAAACCCATACTCTAAAGAATGACCAACTGTAAATCCAAACAGACTCATACACTCTCTGCCTATCATTTTGTAGTGTTTGCAATGAATACCTTTTATTTTGTAGCCATATAGTTGATTCTAGACGCTCCTCCGATGCGCTTTCCAGCTGAAGTTGCACTGCTCGGAAAGCCACAACAGAGTTGATCGGTGTGTCTCCACAAATCAGCTTTGGCATCTTCACTCCACGCCATACTGACAAGATAATACCTGTTTCCACACTGGAAGTCCTACTTGGTGTGTGGAATAGGACAATGTTCCCTGGCCTCAGCAGTGGACACTCTCGATTTGTCAAAAGAATTATCTTTTAGAGTTGTACTAAAAACATCCAAAAACATCCAAAAACTATCAAAAACTACTAAACAATTGAAAGTGCTCAGCAAAAACTACTAAAAAATTGAAAGTGTCCAGCCATACTGCTCAGACTATATTCCTCTTTCCCCCCGTCCAATATCTATCAATCACAAATAACATCAAATATTAGCAAATAATCACATGATATCAAAGTCACTTCAAGGTTTCCAGCGCTCCAGGAGGTAGCTGCAAATCTTTCCGAGCCCTTTCTGCGACTTCTCGCCACTTGGCTAGGCGACTGGTGCGGCTGTTGTGAAAGCCTTCTTCCTGTTGATGGTTGATCTGCGCGATACGCCGTTCATTGTACCTCAAGATCCACACACAGATTGCTTGCCTCCAACTTACATTCACTACAGAATGCATGTACACATTGTTTTCAGAAACTGTGTTCTACAAAATGTAAAATCATACCCTTGCATTATGGCACATGCTATCCATGCCTGCAAACATATTCTAATACATTCTAATACTATGTTGCTGACATTGCGTTGTATGAGATCGTATGAGTATTGACAGAAAAATACAGAATGGTTTTCCCAGCCTCATTGGCTACAAAATGAAAGGCAACATGCCAAGACACACGTCAAACCCATCTCGTTTCTATTTATCTTGCCGTGGGGCTGGTACCAGTTGAGCGCTGATGCTGCCCTCCGGGTGTTCTGCGGATTCTTCAAGAATCCACTGTCAAGGCCACCCCTCATTGACCGTAATCGCAGGCACAATCGGAAGATGCTGTTCAACCTGCAGCCTTTGTTCGCCAAAGCATGCCTCAGAGTACTTGGAAGCGGCCTTCGCTTCCGACCGGATCTGGACTGTTCAGATCCAAAAGGTTCTAGAATCGCTGGTTTCTCCATCAGCTCTTCTAGCTGTTCTCGATCAGGAACTCCAGCTAGGTCATTGTCCACTGTTTCCGAGCGTCTCTCCTCAGTTGACTCAGCTTGCTCATCACCAACCTTGAAAGCCGAAGGTTCCACGGTCTCAGCCTGAAGTGCATCCAAAAACTCTGTGCATTCATTCTTTGCGGTTTCCTCACAAGCCAATTCTTCGTCGCCCATCTCAAGTTCGTCCTCTTCAAGAGCATCATTTTCCGTGTCCCAGAAGCCGACGGCACAGTAGTCCTGATACCACTTCTCCAGCTTCTCAGTCGGCACCTTGCTGCACCAGGATGCCAATTCAAGCGCCGCTTTCATGCCATTCTCACAGCAAGTCTGGAACCTTGCTGACTGGCAGCAAGCACGCTCTACAAAATGCAAGGGAATTACCAATACCTCTACAAAAACATAAAGACATGTAGGGACCATCACCATGTGATGAACAAACAGGGAGAGTGCAAACAAGCCACTCTGAATCTGTCAAGGCAGCTTCTTGACGAGCAGGCGTAGCTTTCAACTTGTTCAAAATTTCCCCTGCCCTTAAGTTCTGTCTTGCACATGCCAAAAAGTAGCTCCGGGCCGAGACCTGACTATTGCTGGACTGCTGCCGGATTCCCGCAAACCACTGTTCCACAGAAATTTCTGTGAGCCGTCCATTTCCATGATCAAAGCAATTGTACCAGGGAGGTTTTGTCAAAGTAACCACCATGGTCGCTAAAGCGGCACTTTGGGCATTGCTTAGCGTCTGACCTGCATAGAAGCAACTTCCTGCAGGAAGCTCCATGGCTTTGCACTTGCGGTCAGCTAAGATTTTGAACAGGTCCATGCCGACGAAGCCACTCACGGCGTTTTCGCACCGTTCAGCCATTGTCAAATCTCGGTGGACCAAGCCGGAAAGGCACAACGCTGTCATGCAGTTGTGGATGCAAAGACCGGACAGGCTCCACGGAATGGTCATGGCTTCCAAACTGCCTTCCTCAGGAGAAAAGAGGGCTGTGGAAGTGCAATCAGTAGAGTAGAGAAGCACAATGGTCGAAGTGAAAGTACTATCTACAATCATCACTAAAACATACTATAAACCTCTATATACATCTATAATCATCTATATACATCATTATACATCTATATAGCACTAGCGCTACTAGGATTTATTCTTCCAACCTTTGAAGGCGCTGCCTACGAGTGATCTTGTGTTCAGCTCATTTAGTAGTAATCCTAGATGGCCCAAGTTCATTTAGTAGAGGCAATCCTGATTGTATTTTGTGCATTCTAGCGGCAACGCTGTCCACCAAAAAGAACGGGTTGTTGACCAAACTGTTCAATTTATCGCTTTGCGGATTGACCCGGCTGTATGCTGCTGGTGGCAGGCCGTGAACTCTGCACTGGGTGTTGTCAGTAAACAGCTCTCCAAAAAACAGCGTCCGGAGCGGGGAGACCATCTGCCCGTTGAGGTTCTTGCTGGAATGGCCTCTGGGCATCTCTAGGCCATCAGGAATTATATAAAAGGAAAGAAAACTTATTATAAAGATTTACACTATAAAGAATCCACAAAACCTAAACTTATTCTACAAAGCCTCTACAAAATGCACAAAAACATCAAAACACACCAAAATAAAAAAAGACCGCCAAGGCAGTCGAGAAGCAAACTCCCGGCAGGGCCCAAAAGTACTCTCCGGAAACGGGCTCCTTGCAAAGGCGCACGGGGAGCCTGGGCAAGCAACATGCTGGCAAACTCTCGTACGATAGCTTGCCAAACCACGGTAAAGCCCGCAGCTCAATCGGGTCCATGCCCTGAAGCTGTCCATGGATCACCTTGCGGATGAACAATTGGCTACTGTGCTGGTCGAACACCAATGCGCGCACGATTCCTGATGCCTTCTCCAGAACGCGGCCAAGCAAATCCAGCATAAACCAGTTCGACCGATTCGTCCCTTGCACGTTGGAAAAGTTGTGCTCTATCGGGAGGCTGCAAATGCTCAACGGGTTCTTGCGCTTCTGGCACGGGTCCCATGCAATCATCTCAAGCATGTTCAAGGCCTTCACTACAGAAGAAATGTTCAGCTTTTCCTCCTCCAAGCTGATGAAACAGCTGCCTTCTGCTCCTGTCTTGAACATGCCGCCGACCAGCCCGTGCTGGGAATGAATCTTCAGCTGGCTCAGCGTGGGCGTGAGATATGTAGCGTCAAAGCAAAGGACGAAGCGGCCTAAATAGCTGAAGCTTTTGGACCCGCTAGCTTTCCTACATTTTCCTACTCTTTTCTGATACTTGCATTGTGTAGTGACTTTTCACTTGTTGTTGCAATTTGTAGTGAAGAATAACTACTTTGAGAATCTTTGTGACGTATTAAATGATACTAACGCCCAGTCTACAGTAACACCCTTACACCGCATTCCAAGAATAGAACATAAGCATAAACATACAACATGACCAAGGTCTACTGAAGCTATTGCAAGGAACAAATGCCTTCCGACGTGGTCCTCAACGCTCTCTGGTCCAGAATCTCAAAGTTCTGCTGCAGAATGCCATCAAAATGCAGAGCTAGCGCGGACGCAGGAACACTTTTCGGCAGCAAATCATCTAGTAGGTTCCCATACGTCCTCAAATTCAGACCAAACTCTTGGGCCAATTTCCGGTTGCAGCAAGCTAAAGCCAGTCTTTGACCTGCGTCAGCAATCAACAGACGCTCTGCTTCTGATTCTGCCGTCCTCCTGCCTTTCATTGTCGTTATTCCTTTCTCCTGTTTGTCAACCAACCTGAGACACTGCAAGCTGATCCCATGCAGTAATGGATGCGACTCCAGTTTTCCTTGCATGGCCGCTGCTGCTATTTTGAAGGATGCCAGGTCTTGTTCCTGCGCACGTCCACTTCTGATGATGGCCGTAAAACGACCCACAATGTCGGACATCTCTTCTGGGATCCCCATCACGTTGACCTTCAAACAAGGCTTCACGATGGACGTGACAAAGTCAGCATGAGCTTCAGTGGCCGTCTCCCGTGTGGCAGAGAGCCAGCTGGCGCGGACAAACTGCTGCAACTGGGAATTTGACATCTTGAGCAGCTTGGAGACGACCTTGAAATCGTGCTCATACAGCGCACTTTGTTGGATCTCAGACTCAACTGCTTTGGCTGCTTGCTGGCCAGCAAAAAGTCTCGAGCTCAGCAGCCTGGCCATGTAATATTTTTTTGCAAATTTGAGTACTGTTCTGGGGACGCCATGTGCGCCTCCCAAAGACTTGCACTCTTTGCAAATCGGAAGGCTATTCTCATTTACTGGAGGTTTGCAAAGCTTCTCACACTTATTTGCAGTGACGGTCCATGTGCCACTTGTGTGGTCCTCCGGCAGCCGGAAAACAAGAACACTATAGAACACTAAGTAGAACACTACAAAATGAGTATCTGTATGCTCCAAACACTACTAAATGATGGTTGGTAGGCTCCAAACACTACAAATTTCAATTCAGTGTTTGTTAAGACCCTTTAAGTGACTCTTGTCCTGCTCGTACTTGTGCACTGCAAGTTGGCTCAGGTTGGTCATGCTCACCCAAAGGCCAAATTCCTTCTGTAGTGAAAAGAGGTGCCCGGCATTCTCCTCATTGTTGAGCACCAAGCCTGAGCAAGGAACTGTTCTCTCTTCATCCTCCATGGAAGCTGCTCCAGCTTCCTGCGCAGTCTGACTCAGACTTGCCAAATTGCGCTTGTGTGTCACGCAACCCAGGTGTTTGTCAATGAAGTACTTGACACTGTAGTGCTTAGCCAGGCTGAGCTCTCCCACCTTTCCTTGTGGTTGGGTTTTGCTCTTGCATACTAGGCACTTGAAGGGAAATGTCTTCCCGAGTGATCCAGGCGGCAGCAGTTCGATGACCCCCGGAAATTTCTTGGCGTATGCAAAAGGATCACTATCTTGATCCTCCTTTGCATCAGGGTCAATCTCCTCCTTCACCTCTGGCGGCTCCTCACAAACCTCTCTGGCCGCATTCTGATCTTCGGGCTTGGAAGTTGTTGCCAGTTCCCCTGTCGGGTCATCCAACTCTTGCTGCAAGCGTTCGGCGGAAAAGCGACATCGCTTCAAAAGCTCCTGGCAAGCATGGCATTTCGAGGTTGCCGCTTCCGCATTACCCAGCAACAAATGCTGCTGCAGGCTCACATACCCACCGACTGGACAGACTGCTGTCTTCTTCAGGCTTGCCTTCCTGCACCAGGGAGCATTTGGAATACAAAATGAAAGGGGCATAATCAATACGCTCTACAAAATGAGGTTGACCATCCCAAAATTAGCCAAGATATAGCTTTTGTCTACAAAACCTTTCAAGTTGTAGTGTGATATTGCTGGAGCCCCGGCCTGGTATGCGTTGACTGGAATTCTGGGTATGAGGCTCCAATCCTGCCAAGATACTGCTTGACCACGCCCAATTGCTGAACACGGTTAGTGACAAGCTTCTTCTTGCAAGTCCGCGCATGCCGAGCCCGTTTCATACGAGGGACTGTTGCGCCCTCCTCCTGCTCATCATCCTCCTTTGCCTCATCTGCTGGCTCTACCTCTGCAAGTTGCTCAAGCAAATCGTCCTCTTCCTGCACGACCTTCCTTTTGGCGCTTTTGGTCTTCTTCTGTGGAGGCTTGAGTCCGGCCTCTACCTTGATTGGCTTGCCAAAATCAGCTGCGCGGCAACTTGACTTGGTCATCTCCGCAGGCATTGGAGGCTTCTCTGGTGTGTTTTGCGGCACTGGCTTCTGCTTCTTCTTTTTCGGAGTCCCCGATTTCGGTGTCTGGGACTTTTGTGGCTCATCGCCATCTTTAGCTTGTTCTGTCCGAACCCTCTCAATCTCTTCCTCCACAAAATCCTTCATGCCAAAGAATTTGAACATCGTCTGCCAAGCAGGATGCGCAGACACCTCCATCCACATGTCTCCAATCTCCTCAGAGGCAGCTCTGCGCAGGACATATACATATATTTTGGGTTACTGAGGAGTGCATTTTGTAGTAAAGATGATCCTTGGCATGCATTTTTTAGCACATCACCGAAAACACTAAGGTTTTGTATAGCCGAGTTTCTTTACGCAACTGGTGAGCGCGTTTGCGGCTATAAGATTTCCCACCTCTCATGCGCGCAGGCTTTCCTTGACCCAGCTCATCTAGGGAGTAAATCCCACAGTTCCCATCTGCAAGGACATCTTCCGCAAATAGCCCTCGCTCCCGAACTGTCTGATGCAACTTCTCCTCTGCATCTAGGCGTTCCATCAACTCCTCAAGCTCAGCAATGGCAGAAGTTGTATCAGCACTCTTGGGCTCTCTCCGAAGCTTGGCAACTCTGTTGGCAAAGACTTTTTGCTTTCTCTCCAAATCTTCTTGCAACTTCATGTGGCAGCGTTGCCAGTCTGTCGGGATCTGATCACGGTGCCATGCAGGGAGAAAATGGTTGAGTTCAGCAAAGGTGGAACGCTTGTAGTCTGCCCGGCACGGAACAATGAACCAACTATCTGGACTTGCCGTGTCCACTTCACTGGAACTGTCATCCACCACAAAATATTCTGCAGGCATCAAGGATTTGCATATTTCGCGAACTTTCTGAATTCTTGGATTCTCATCATCATCGAAGGTCATAAGTGATAGTTCCTTTCCTTTATGCTCAGAATACAGGAAGAGGTCCACAACTGAAATGAAGTACCCATTCTGGGCTAGAAAGTCCGTTGCATATGTCTCCTTGGTGTCACGCACACAATGACCACTAAAAAATATTAATCACTCAGGCCTTCATGCTACAAAATGAATGCTCGTGTGCAAAAACTGTCAATCCTAACCAGCTACAAAGCAAAACCCGAAAAACATATCAAAAAACCATGTGAAAGCGTAGCAAGGGGCAATGAGCGCTTGAAGATGAGGATCTGCTTGCACTTCTTCCATGTCCTCTGGGACCTCCATGGGTGGACCCTCCTAAGCTGCATGGTCATCCAGTTTCATCAAGGAAACCAAGTAATTACAAATGCAGTCAAATACGCTGAAAAATAGAAAAAACATGAAAAAACATCATGGACCTTGAGCCAAACATGATGGTTTACAGTGGAACTCATCTGAACATACCTGAACTCTTTCTTGATCCTTGACCTGAAATGCGTGAAAGCGGCAGCAGGAGCTGGCAGTGGTGGTGGGGGCATCAGCGCAGAGACCAATGCTAGTTGTTCGAAAGCTGTCTGGTCAGAGTTCTCCCAACCGGCCTGATGGCGCACGCAGGACTACCCTCTCTACAAAATCCACACCTCCAACTAGCACTCATTACAAAATGCTCGGCTTCAGTCATCCAATTGTTGTGTAATTCCCAAAAAGATCCAAAAAGATCCAAAAAGCATAAAGAACAAAGTTTCATGCAAGAGACATTTCCAGCAGTTGAAGTTGGTGCGGCTTCATCTTTCCAGTCAGCTTCTGAAGTTGGCTCCATGCGTTCCTGGAAGACCGTAGACCGTAGAACGGGTAGAACGGACCAATGAGTTAGCATTAAATAACATTGGGCTGGTTGAAGACTCTCTCTACAAAATGGCATCCTCCATTTATGCTTCTTGGAAAAAGTCTACAAAATGATTGGCCCCAGGACCAATTCCTAAAAACAACGAAGAATTCATTATGCAAGAGACGTCAGCAGCATCTGAAGGTGGTCCCTCTGCATCTGCTTGAATTGCTCTGGCTTCCGCCTAGGAGCCGCAGATTGCAAAAATTGTTGGGAAATCTTCTTGAAGGATGTTCATGGATGGGGAGTTGGATGACATTGGGCATTGGGCTGCTTGAAGGCTCTCTCTACAAAATGTCATCTTTCATTTATGCTTCTTGA